CCCCCCCCCCACACACACACACACACTGTTAACCAAAAAAGCTTGAGTGGAACCCACCGATCCCACAAAAAGTGTAGATTCTCGGTCTCACATCGTATCTAAGGGGTTATCTCGTAGTGGGTTGCTTGTTTCGGCTCCAAATCACCAAATCTTCAACTTTTCAAAAACTTTAAATCGAGTTATTGCGACTTATTTTATGTTAAAACTCATGTATAAAAAATGCCTATTAGTTATTTTTACTGTGTTCTATGTTATTTCGTGATTGTTTTGCGATACAATTAATTTGTTATTTTTTATCCGAATTATATTATTAGTGTGCTAAGCAAATTAGTAAAATAGAGAAATTGTTATTATTTGTTTAAAAAAATGTTAATTAGTTACTTTTTACTGTGGTATTTATTTTTTCGTGATTGTTTTGTGATTAAATTAATTTATTATTTTTATCCGGTTTAGATTATTTATTTGCTAAAAGACTAGTAAAATAGATAAATTATTATTTTAGGAATAATTAATCTTATTTAGATGTTATTGTTGTACATATATGAATATGTGACTTTAGTTCCCTGTAGTGGTATCTTGTGCCCTAATGTAGTGCTCGTATTTGTAATGTAGTGCCCTTTTAGCGTAGTAAAATATAGTGCCCTTTAGCGTAGTATCTTTGTAGCTATTGAAATTAATCATTTAAGTACCTGTTAAACCCAAAAATATATCAAAAAGCTGATAGTTCAAACACAATCTCTCTCCAATTCTAGTCAACAAACGTAAGAATATAACATGAAAAAACAACAATATTTGTCAAACTAAGTATTGTTATATGAATATTTAATAATCAAATCAATAATTAATTATTTAATTTTATTATAGTCAAAAATAGGTGAGTAACAAACAAACAGATAAAATAATAAACTAAGATATAAAATAATAAATTAACATATAAAATAATAGATCTGTTGAGTGATAAATTGGAAAAAATTTCTCATCACGAACATAAGAACATTGGATTCCTTGGTGTTACTAGGCCTCAAATATCGAGTCCGGAACCAAAATATGATTTATTTGGACTCAAACTAAGTATTGTTATATGAATATTTAATAATTAAATTATGTATAGTTATGAAACTTAATTATTTAATTTTATTATAGTAAAAAATAAGTGAGTAACAAACAAACATATAAAATAATAAAGTAACGTATAAAATATAAAATTATAATATAGAAAATGTATCAACCTAATTAACAATATAGTAAAAATATTGAATAAATTTTAATTAAAGATATTACAATATATTTAAAGATGTTAAGCAATAAAAAAGAAAAATACTTTAATTAATATTGTTCAATTTACAGTAGTCATCATGGAGGTTCCGCCTATGCATCCCGGACTTGCCTCGCTAGAGCTACTGTTGCTACAGGCCGAGCATAGGTCTTCGTACATATGGGAGGGGCAGTTATTGACCCCCGGCGTTCCATACTAGAAGCGTAGACGATATGTGAGACTTTCTTAGGGCCCACCATCTCCATCCCTGTATAGTCAGACGCCTTCAGGATACGGGTTTCTATAGGATTATTGAGATCAGTCGGTTGCAGTTGGATTGGTCATTAATCACGGCTTTAATAGAGCGGTGGCGACCGGAGACGCACACATTTCATCCCATTGGCGAGGCTACTATCACGCTTCAGGACGTGTGCCACGACCCAAAATTCATTAAAGGTCGTGATGGCACTGGACACTGCGGTCAAGTAAGCCAAAAATAAATACTTAATTTTGTTCTCATTTTTAATATTTCTAAAATCATATTTCCTTCAATTAAATAGTAAAAGATGAAGTTTACAAAATAAATAATAATATCTTTAAAAATTTCAATACAGTGCAACTCATAATCGCCCAAAATCCGGTGTCACAAGTGCATGAGTATCAACTAGGAATATAAAATAAAATATAACATCTGTTCGTAATACAAATTGGACAGGAAAATATAAATACTCCGAAGGAGACTCTGCTGGCTGCGGACTCGTAACGTAGAAGGCAGCTCACCTAAGTCCCCGCAATAATCGTGCCTCTGCGCCCACGAGGCCACTAGACATATATGCACCTGCACAAAAATGTGCAGCAAGTGTAGCATGAGTACGTAAATCAACGCGTACTCAATAAGTATCCCGCCTAACCTCGAAGAAGTAGTGACGAGGGGTCGACTCCGACACTTACTAAGGGACAACAATATGATAATATGAAATTCTAATTAAGCAAGATATATATAACAATAAAACTCAGAATAAGAAATAACTAAACAAGTCTTCAGAAATATTTAAGAGCTTAAATCACCTCCTTCCTTTAAAACATATGATCACACAAATAATGAATTTATACCGATTATGAAAAGAACTTCCAGTTCTATTATCACACACCAATACCACCGAGGACGTTCGGTCCGATCCAACATAAATATAAATTTTGCATTACCGAGGGTCGAACGACGCGAACCATAGATACATCTATTACCCCGCTCGCGGATCATACATGCGATGCGGTCAAATATAAATTTATCGATAAATCATAACCCTTTCTTGATTCTTTTC